CAGAGCCTGACGCGGGGCTCGAACTCACGGACCGCGAGATCGTGACCTGGCTGAAGTCGGACGCTTAACCGACTGCGCCACCCAGGCACCCCTCAAGGCCCTTTCTTGAACTATGATTGAACACTAATATGACTAGTGAAGAATTAATTCATTCCTTTGTCAAATATTTATTGAGTAACTACTGTATGGCAGAGCTAGGTGTTGGTAAGATAGAGATCGGATACAGTTGGTGATAGTGCTACAATAGAGATATTCAGGTGAGGGAAATCTCATTCAACCTGAGGAGGAGAAAAGGAGGAGAGAAACTGGAAGGGAGAGGAGGAATTCTGGGCAGCAGGAGGAGCAAGCCCAGAAAGCTGCAAGGCTTGAGAGCAAATACTGCATGTTCTGAGGACTGCATGCAGATCAAGATTACTGATCTGAAGGCACTCACAGGTGTGGAGGTGACCTGACAGGATGCAGGCCAGAGAAGCAGGACCAGAACCCGAATAGCCTCACAAGCTAGGCTCTGGGGAGCATTTAATCCAAAAGACCATGGTGAGCCACTGATGGATTTTAAACTAGATGGATTTTAATTTGGAAAAATCGCCTTCACAGTAACACAGAGAATGGAGTGGGAGGCCTAAGACTCTGAGACCGAGAAATCTGTAAGAAAGATATAATCCAAGAAGACGTGATGAAGCTCTTAACCTTTCAAAGGCAGTGCCAGTGGAGGTGGAGAGAAGGAAATGGATTTGAAAGACCTTCAGGAGAGAAAGTATACAGGATCTGGGGACAGAGAGAGAGGATTGTAGGCTGACTCCAAGTTACAGCCTAAGCAACCTGGCAGGTGTTCGCCGAGATACAGGACAGGAGAAAGTGCAGGCTTAGGTGAAGATGATGAGTTTAGCACAGTCGCTGTGACCGGTCCTGTGAATGCCTCTTTCTCCTCCACGCCCCATTTGGTTTAGTCCACATCATGCACAGCAGCTGCGACTCATCAGGAACGTAAGCCCCAACTCTGTACAAAGACCACTTCCCCCTGGGGAGTGCTTAATCATTACACTATGCACTTTTACAATAATCCAAATCAAAGAAGCCCCAGGGGACATGTTAACCTCTAATCAAATATTTCCTTTTCTACTATTTTCACTCTCCTTTGAAACCTCTTCCTGCCACCTCACTCTGGTAGCCTCACCCAGTGTGGCAGACTTGAAATGTAAATAAACAAGCCTGAGTGCAAGACAATGTGATGTAACTTGAGTCAGCGCCCTTCCAGGAATCCCCAGGCCTCTTTCAGGTCTGGAGCCTCTATTCTAATCAGGTACCCTATGCCAGAAGTTAGAAGTGAAACTCAAAGCTCCTAACCCTGGTCACTGCTCACTGGAGAGGAAACCTCCAGCTAGATACCTCCAGCTGTCCCAGAGAAGTCTTGAACCTTGTGACAGGTGTCCCTTTCCTCCTCCCCGACAAGGAGAGTCTTGGCCTCACAAATGAGGAAACTGAGGAAAAGCTTGAAGGTGAAAAGGCTTCCTGTTCACAGAAGCAGAGCAGTAATGACCTGGATTTTTAAAAACAAGGCAGAGCTATTGGATAGCCTTGTTGACTTTAGTAACTACTTTCTTGAAAAGACTTAAAAGTAACTGAAGCACAGCATAGACCATGAATTTGTAAATGTCACATTATTTGGCACAAACATCCATATACATACAAATTCAGCTTGATAAATATTTATGGAACACCCATTCTAGTGAAAGGTCTGCTTTGCTGGGTGCAGGAGGACTGGAAGCTGAATAAGAGATTCTCCTCCCCCTGGAGGTCAGAGTCTAGTGAGGGAGATAGAGCATAGCCAGGACAGGATATGTCCACAGGGCCAGAGCTAAAGGCACTGTGCTTAGCCCTTTTCATTTGTTGACACATTTAATCCTCACAGCCATCCTGAGGTAGGTACTATCATCATTCCCATTTCAAAGATAAAAAGACTGAGGCACAAGGTCTTACAGCTGGCAAGCCACAGATCCAGGACTCAAACCCAGGGAGTCTGGCCTCAGAGTCTCTCTGTTTAATCTCTATAATAAAACTGCTTTTATGTAGTGAACTAAAAATACAAAACAAAACAAAACAAACAAACAAACAAACAAAAAAACCCTGCTATTGGAACACAGGAAAAGACAACTAATTGTGATGAATCAGAGAAATTTTCACCGATACCATCAGATCATGAGCTTTGGCATCAGAACCAAGTTCAAATCCTAAGTCAACCATTTTCTAGCTGTTTTAACTTAGGGAAATTTATTTCATTTTTCTAATAATTAAATGAGATAATACATGTATAATATTTATGTCATATTTGCATATTATAAGCTTTCAGAAATCATTATTTTTGTTTATTTTTTTAATAATAAGAAGAATTCTCAAATAGGAAAAAAAAGTGGAGAAAAGGTCACTCCAGGCAAAACGACCAGCAAGGGTAGAGGGATAGAGGCAGGTGGTGAATGGTGGGAGGAGGACTACGATGACAACAATTTCACAAGCTAGTGAGAGTGACCAGGTAGATGGCCTTGCTATTATCTAAGACAAGAAAGGCAGAAGAAAATCTCCTTGAGATGAGGACTAAATTGGATTGACCATTGTTTAGCAATGCACAGGTTCCTCGTGATGTTTATAAGAGCAGTCATGGCGCAATGGTTCAGGGAAAACCAGAATGGAGTGGCATCAAGAAAGACTAGAAGATGATGAGGTAGAGCTGGTGAAGTAATTCTTTTGAGGAGTCCTGTTATAAAAGAAAGTAGAAAATTGGGACTAAGCTGGAAGGGGGCACAAGGCCAACAGAGTTTTTTGGGTTTGGGGTTTTTTTTTTGTTTGTTTTTAAGATGGGAGAAATCATAGTTTGTTTGTGTACTGATGGGAATGATCTCGTAAAAAGGGAAGATTTGATGATGCGTTAGAGAAGGTGGAGAATTGCTGGAGCCATGGGATCCAATCCACCAGTGGAAGGGCTGGCCTTAAGTAGGAGCACAGACACTTCATCCATAGACACGAATAGAAAGGCAGAATATATGGGCATAGGTACAATTAAGTGGGTAGGCAAGGTGTTGAGAGCTGGTGGATCTTCTCTGATTGCTTCTATTTTCTAATGAAGTGGGAAATAAGACCATTAGCCAAGAGTAAGGATGTTATAGTAGGTGTCAGAAGTTTGAGAAAAGAGAGAAAAGTATGAAATAATCCTCTCAAAGAGTGGGAGAGAGAAATGGAGAGTAATAATAGTTTTCAGTCATTGACACTTAATAGGAACTGGCTGTTTTTAAACACATCCTCTAGACCTGAAAGCTAATGGGACATGGAACAGAAGGGTTTGTTTGTTTGTTTGTTTGGTTGGTTGGTTGGTTGGTTGGTTGGTTGGTTGGTTTTTTGATAAGGAGATTGTCTGGGAGCCTGAAAGGTATAATTAGAGTCCAAAGAATTGGGTTCTGAAAAGCCAGCTTGAGGGGATGTGAGATTCCTGAGAAGATAAACAGAGATGAGGGCAAGACTGGATCACAGTTAAATTCTCCATTTCATTTGAATTTTGCTCCATGCCCAGGTTAACTCACCCAAACAAGTGACCACTTGCTCTTCGTCATCTCTGCAAAAGAAAGTCAAATCCAAGAAACTTGCAGTCCAAGAACCACTAGTAAGAGATCAAGTCATCTCATTCTGACCAAAAGCAACCATCTGAAAGCAAATTGGGGATTTGAAAGATACCATGTCAATCACAGTTTGCATAATAATACCTCCTTACATGTGATTTCTCACGTACATATGTTATCTTGCTCACAACTCTGAGGGGTACCAAGGTTGCCTACAAAGATTCTAGCTTTAAGCTGTCACTAACCAGCTCAGACAAGTCACACAGCTAGACACAGGGCAGAGCTGGGAACTCCAGCCCTACCTGCAAAATCTTTCCAGAGCTCCTGCCGCCACACCCCGGGACTCATTGCACTTAACTCACTCTGAGCTGTTATGTGTGTGCTGTGTGTACATCTAACTTATAATGAGAAAGATTGAAAGAAATAAGCAACCAAGCCTAAAACAGAAGTAGAAATGTACGTTGGTGAAAACTCTTTAAAGAATATGGAAATAAGCTTAAGGTGTTAGTGATCAATAACAAAGAAATGAATGCTTTATTCAGGTCCAGACACATGGTTAGTGCCTATGGGAGAAGAAACTGAAGAATTAACTGAGGCCCACGGAGACACATTCATTTAAAGAAGAATTAGAGAAACCGACAAAAAGTTGTCTATAGGTGACAGGGATGATAAAGACATGAAGCAATATCCAATTAGAATTTTCACAAATTTGCTGACATGTTCTAAGTAGCAAAACACAAGAATGGCTTAATTTCTGAAGAGCAATTTTTAAAAATGGAATGAAGTCTCAAGGTGGGTGAATCAAAGGAATTTTCAAGAGATTTGACCACATCAGTTCTTGCAGGTGCTGTTGGTTCCCTGCCCAGATTCTCTGTACCAAGCCAGCATACCCCTTCCCTAGCTGCTGTTACACCTGCACCCTTTTCTGGAAGATTTCCCTTAGCTGACAGGAGATGCTTTGCCCAGAAATCCCTGCCAAGTTACACACACTGCCTGTATGCACGCCCCCTCCTCGCTCTGCTCTCCCACTAGACTCGTCCTACTGTTTCACAGATGCAGGGTGCCTTGTCTCTGGATGGGAGAAACTTTGGAGCAATTTATGCTCCAGAGCGCTCTGTGGAATCAGGCTGAGGTAAGAGTTCTTTCATCTCTACTTAGCTTCTTCCCCATCATGCTTCCTTTAATCCCTTGTAGGTTTCTCCTGAGGGCACTTCCTCAATAAATCATTCATCCAAGAACCCCTGTCTCAGACTGCACTTCTAGAAAACCTGCCTTAAGCCAGCCGGATCGGATGTAACTCCACAGTATGTCTCTCTATGGATTAGATAGAACACATTTTGCTTTATGTTTTTGTTGTTGTTTGCTGTTTGTTTTTGTTTTCATAAAGTTTGCTGTTGCTTCCTTGGGGTCTGTATCTTTCCAGGCCAAAGAGAAATGAAAGATGTTTATTGAAATCTCTTCTAAAATTTGCCCTTGGTTAGGTAAGCCTCTTCTTAAAATTTTAGTTAGGCCTGTTTCTAGGGCAGAGATAAGCTGTTGTCTAATCACGAGGCTATGACAGTGATTTTGATCTGTATTGCAAAAAATTCACTATCAGCCAGCACCAAATGGACAGCAGTTCTAGTCTCATGAGGCAGAGAGGGAGGGAAGCAAGTATCAAATACTTTCAGTTACACATATCAGAAAACCTGACTCATTCTAACTTGAATAATAAATGGAATTTATTGGCTCGGATAACTGAGAAGTCCAAAGGAGAAGTTTGGAGTCAGTCATTGCTTTTTACCCTGTGACTAAACAGTCGCCATGCACCTGCCTTCTACAGTGTTCACTTTATTCTAAGTTTGACTCCACTTGTGGTCCCAAGAGAGCTCCCTGAAGCTCCCCAAACCACACGCTTTCTCATTCATACTCAGCAAGAAACAGAGGATGCCCTTGTCCTATTAATATTGCTGAGTTTCACTTAGATTGGCTCAGCTTAGGTCACATGCCTACCCGTGAACCAATCACTACAGGGAAGATGGCGTATAATGATTGGCTTAGTTTAGGATATGAACGCCAGGGATGGAATCTGATCCCCAAGAATTGCATGGATCTTCACCGGGAAATCAGGGCCTATGGCAAAAGGTAAGTGGAGAATGGGAGTTGGGAAGACAACCAATCTATACCCACCTGCTTCACCAGACTAGCAGCAGAATATTTTATTCACTCTACATTTATGACATGTATCTGTGTGCCCTGTTCTGGCAGAGGGGTGGGGTGGGGGGCCATGTTACTGTGCATGAGAGGAAAGGAAGAAGGAAGAGAAAGTGCTGCAATGAAGTGAAATAAGCAACATGGTGAAATAAGTAAGAAATAGGTGAATAAGTAACTATGTATGCACACGGTGATGATAACTAATACCTACCTGGGCCTTAGAGCTTCCAGTATGCTTATCATAGTTTGTTTGCTAATCCTCACAATTTCAAGAGGGACATTTGTCCTTATTTCTGGCTGCCCTGTATCTGAACCTCCTCCCTTATTTTAGGGAATCCTCCACCTTATGAGTCTTAGTGGGAGGCAGGACCTTCTCTCACTACACAGGGTGAAAATGCCAGGATGTGGGCACACACCCTAGGTTTGGCCAAGCAGGTGAACCCATGACCAGCTTTGAATTGTGACACAAGGAGGCGGAGACTATGGGAAACTCATTTTGGTTGTACTGGAGCAAGGGTGGCAGCAACCTGTAGTTTCCATGCAGCAGAGCAAACAGGTCCCCCTCCCCCCCCCCACCACTCTGAGCGCCAGCAGTAGTGGCCGCGGTGACGGTGGCATGTGGTGATGGTAGCAGCAATTCCCTAAATTTGACTGTTTGCTTTGGGGTATTGTTCCCTGCTGGGTATAATCTCTGGTTTTCCAACCCTCCTAGCAATTCCGTGGACCAACCAATATCCTTTAAATAAATTCACCTTCAACCAGAATTAGTTTTGTGGCTGCAGCTTATTGAAATACAACCTTTTGGGGTCAGGTGTTTTTTTTTTTTTTA